CTATGACCTTCTGACAATTTTCCAACTGAAAACCCTTCAACAGTCACCTATTTCTTAAAGAAACTAAATGATCTTTGACATGCTTAAAGTTAAGATGATAATGCCTACTCTTTTCATAGCAGAACATTTTAGGTTCTTCAGTCTTCCGTAAAATAGTAAGTGCTGTCTCCCTGTCAAAGTATCCCATAGCAGGCTGAAAATAACAAAAACAAATTAAACAACAAACAAAGTCAGCTTGATTTCAACTAAGGATGAAAATGTTAAACGTGTTGGTTTCTTGAGAAAATGAGAAGCAAGAATCTTAGCTTACTCATGCTGAGGGCACTCCTATTCTGGTATATACTGAATCCACATTTGAGTCTGCATGTCTAAGCTCAACATATGCTGCCTCCCGTGGATGTAGGCGGTTTTGCCGAACCACGTTAAATATTGTGTTAGTGTGCTTGGCCTCCTATAAGCAAATATCAGTACATCACTGGTCGGAATTCCCAACACTCTCCTCCTCGAGGAATAACAAGAGATAAACCTTTCACCGCCAGTTTTTCTGGATTTCCATCCCTTCGTGGGTACCCCTTCCTCAGATTGTCACAGATGATTCCATGAGTAGTTGTTGTTCTAGCAGTAACTCCACTACCTTCTCCCTCTACATTCAAAAGGGCGTCAACAGAAATAGAATTTACACATGCCTGATAGTGAACAATTGACACTGAAATATTTGAACTATAAACCGGAGCAGGAAACGGTTACTCAAAATTAGATTTAAGGGAATGTAATTGCCTCCTGAATGACATCAGGTTTATCCATATCAACAAAAACTTTAGACCCCTTCTCGTGCAAACTAGGCTTCTGAAATGAAGATTGACAACGCTTCTTCCGAAATTTCTGCAATAAATATTCAGTATGTTTTCCACTTCCATGTGAAAAAACTTGATCCACATAATAAGCTATCAAGAGGACCAATAGCCACTCAAGAAGCATGATAATCATCCCATTGTCACTATCAACCAGACTTCCCCACTTCATGCCATCCGTATCCATAACATCCTTCTGTAACAGCGGAAACCAATCACATTACGAGTGTTGGAAAAAAGTAATTTAACAACTTATGCAAATATTGCCCACAAACAAGCAGCAGCAGCAACTGGTGGACAATAAGGCCTGTAGAGCAAACTTAACAGGGAGCATAGCGAACAACTAAGCTACTCTACAGTTATGTTGAGTTCACAAAAATGACAAATTCAATCACATGGATAATCATTAGCCTCCTCGCATCTGTTAAAATATCAGATAATGAATTAAATGCAGTATTCAACAAATCTGAAAACAGGGTTTCTTCTCCCACAAACATCATTAATTAACTAGGAAAATCTGAGGGGAAATAGAAAGTATTTTGGTTTCACATTTTCTTCTACGTACATGGGAAAGAGGTGTCTTCAATGAAAAACTTGAAAAGAAATTCACCTAAAAGCCCGCTTCCAAAGACACATAAATAGCCTGTTACTGTAACTATCAAAGACGAGGAAGATTTGTAACATCTTGAAGTAGATATCATTTAACAAATGAGTCCAACAGTTTATAACATCAAACCTGTAGCAGTCTTGATGTTCGAAGAGAATGCGGAGAATAGAAACGCCAAGGAAATTTGCAGGTTTATATATAGGAAATAAATTAAAAAATTGGATGTAGTCATTCAGGGTGAAGAATCTCAACCCAAAAATTTAGCAATGCTGATAACTCGAAGCCAGTGAAGGCTAGTTTAGAAAGCACTGAGGATTGGATAATGCTAACCAATGAGTGAGCCATATGTTGCAAAAACAAACATGTATAGTGCAGATATGAAAGAAAATACGTACAAGAAATCAACCAATAAGGTCCATCTCCAAGCCCATGCATTTTCATTATGATCCGCACTTTTGCTGTCCCTCATAAACCAGAGATGTCGACACCACCTATAGCAAAATGATGTTGAAGACCATATGAATTCAGAAGAAAGGTTATCATTTTCAAAGGAGGAAACTAACTGAAAAAAAAAAAAAAATAGTTCTTTAACACTAGACTTGTTGAAAATATTTAGCTATTTCTAACCCACTTGGCAATAAATTTTTAACAAGATTCTGCCTCATAGTAAATAAATCCTGACAAGAAATGGATCACACATGCGTGCAGGGAATAGTTGTACAATAACCCATCTAAAGAAGAGGGTGGCCATTTGAGAATTAAGCGATATCAAACTTGATTGGAGCGTTTGAAGTTTTAGGCATTTCCTTGATAAATCCTAACGTCACATTTGCACCAAGCCCTTTAAACAACTGGAGGTAGGCATTTGTTACCTGCAAAGATATAAACATCAGCTTAAGAAATCACAAGAACAAAGAGTAGAGGTGCTTTCTATACAAGATTCACTGCTGGTGGTAACCGCAGAGCAGAAGCATCCTTATAGGAGGCGTTTTACCAGACATTCACATTGAAATTAGTAGCCATTGGAGTATAGGAAATCATGTGCTGTAGAAAAAATGAAACTGTTAGGATTTCCAAACATAATGAGCACCATTTGCTGTAATCACACAGAAGAGTTGTATTGAAATCAGGAATACCAACCCCCAAGTGTCTCATTAGACTTCCCCTCTGCATTCCCTTTTTCATTGCCCATGTATATCTGGCTATTTATTTCGAGAGAAGATTCACGCCACAAATTTAGACTTCGAACACATACCACATCTATATTTAAGAATACAAGCGAGTAGACAAAGATTTAGAATAGTTGCTCATAGACTCGAAAAATACAGAGGAGGGAAGAATGATTAGTTGTTTCACAAAATTGTTTCAAATGTTTTATTTTCAGCCCATAGTCAAATTTAAGCATTGCTCAATTTAAAAAACTTACAACGAAACAGAGAAAGAATTCATGTCATTGTGATTGCTGGTTGGATGTCTAATTTTCCAAGCAGTAATGATAGTATCTTGTACCTGAACTGAACTGGCGGCTCACTTTTTCCGAGTAATGGGGAAGAGGACCGAAACATATGCCACTGAAAGACTACTAAGATTAAGATAGGCTGTCGAGAATGTAGAGGAAGTAGGATGGGCGGTTGGTCAAACTCTTTACAGGATGGTGAAATCCAGTTTCTAATCTTCCCTTTCTCTTCTATCTCATACATTACTACGACGGGTTTTTTGTTAATTTATTTGCACCCTTCAGTTACAGAAACTGGTTCACCTTTGCAACAGTATATTTAGGGAGAAGTGCAAACCTTTCTGGAATTTTAAGGATGACCGAGGAATAGGAACAGAAACAGATATCGTAGAGTTCGATCCACACTGACTTTGAATGTTATAGAGAGAAGAATCCTTTCCGAAGAAAGCAGAATCAACGAAGTAACCACGACTAGGTTCTGAAGATGATCCCTGAAACATTTGGTCAAAAAGAAGTCATGGTATTATATATAAAAAAGAAATATATAAAGCAATGAAAGATCAAGAACATACCAGGACAACATCAGTATGGAACATATTCCCAGCAAAAGCTATGAAAAGTACAGATATATTAATCACAGGGAAGCGGCAGAAGTATCAATTATTCACTTCCATCTTTCCCAGCCATATGTTAGTAAACTAAAGAGTTAGAAATTACTTTGTGCAAGGGTTTGATTTTTTCCAGTGATTAAAGTAGTTCCAGGACAGTTCTCCCCCTTGTGCCTACAGGACCGGTCCGGCAAATCTTTAGTAAGATGAGAGGCACTGCTTCTAACGGCACGATATTCAGGGAGCGGAACCTGCAACAATGGAGGCCATTTTGGTGGCCTATGAATGGGACAAGTCAGCCATTGACCCAAGTCTGAGAAATGGGAGGAACCACACTGGTCCCTACTAGTATCTTTTCTGTATGATTCAGTGGCTATCAGAGTAATTTTCTGAATGCCATAAGGAATCATACAGAAGAAGAATGGGAGGATTAGAAACTGGATATGTGAGTAATTTTCTCAAACATCATTGCACTTGATGTTTTTTTTTATTTGCATGTGCACTATTGCATGTACATAGCTGGTTTTTTTTTTTTTTTTTTTTTGCATATGCACCATTGAATGCACAAAGTTTATGAGAGTGTTTCGTCTATGAATTGAAAATCAATATTTTAAAAAAGAATTTTCATATGTTGTTGAAAACAATTGAAAGAAATCAAAAGGGGAAATAGACCTTTTATTTTTATTGTTCAATAGAAATTAAACACTACGGTTTTATCTTGAAAGTGACTTGCATTATAGGCAAAAGCACACCTATGCTCTTTTTATATTACCCTCCAAATTTTAAAGTTTTTTCTTTTATAAAATTAATTATGAATAAAATAATTAAAATAATATTTTAAATATTATCAAATCTTGCATAATTTTGAGATGAAATTATAATTTTTATAATAATTTTCATTATCAATCGTATGAATTATTATATAAGAACTCAATTTGCAAGATTATAAAAATACATGTTCATGTGTATTAAATGAAAATAAAATTTTTATTTTTTTTTAAATTTTTCTTCACATTTTATTTTAAATTAATCTTCATTTTATGGTTTTTTTTATGGTGTATAAATTATCAAATCATGATTTTTTATATTTTTTTATTAAAATTTTCTTTTCTTTCTATTTAGAAAACAATAATTCTAATATAAAAAACATATTTTTATCAAAACAATAAATGAACAAGGAAATGAAATTTTGCCTGAAGAGATTCATTTTTTTCTCCTTAATTCAAATGAATTAGATTTTTATGAAGAGATACATGTTACTAATAAATAAAAATATGTGATTTAATAAAAAACGAAAAACAAAAGACATTAATAAGAAAATAAAAACCCACCCAATAAAATATATTTGTTTTTCAAAATCTAAGTTGTCTTTTCTTCTTTTTTTCCTTGTACAAGCCTTGTTCTTCCACTTTCTGATAGAAGCAAGATGCACAAGCAACGCAGTCCACGCAAATTTAAGAGCAGATGTGATGTGACTCGGTTCTAATAAACATGAACAATGATGATTATTTATTAATAGATGGTTTTACGCATAGATGAGCACCATTACAGCAATTTGGGTTGTCACCTCGATTTCTTATTAAGACTTGAAGCAAGGGAAACAATCAAACTCTTGCTTAAGAAAAGAGAGCGATTCAAGGCACTATTTCTGAACTGAAGACCATGAATTGGCGTCGATCCAGTTAAATGCTATGGGGCTCAAAAAGGCGTCAGGAATGCCGAGAGAACTGACCAGTGCAAGTGCATGTGGTCGCAATTCTCCGCAGAGCTTTGTCACTTCGTTCCTCACAGCAGCTGCGTTTTCTGTTGATAAGTACCCGTACCGAAGGAATGCGGCGTCTTCTTCCAAACAGATCAAGGCATACATGGATCTCAACAAACCGAGGACATTCTGCAGAGGAAGCAAACCCACAAATTCAGCAACAAGATAAGGTTCTCCCTTCTCTCTTACATGTTCCCTACCAGGCATTTTAGGCTATTTGCTGATGTTCCTTTTAGGTCAAGATTTTGGAAAAAGCAATGAAGACTGCAGTAGAATTTCTGATGTGATTAAGAAGTTTTAAACATCCCTTCTGACCTTCGATTCATACTAAATCTCATTAGCTCAAATAATTCTTCCACGACCCACTTCCCTAAACACTTCTAAGTTCTAACCACTTGCCAGATTGCCATAATTTTATTTTATTTTTTTGGTGAATAAGAGAGAGATTTTACCAAGCCATGGTTAGAAGAACTTCAACTCACGTATAATTCCCTTCAAAGCTTCAGATATATGTTTTTTTTTTTTAATTCTGATGCAAATTCTTTTTTTCCTTGCGTAAGAAAAAAACTTGTTTCGACAGCAATTCATTTATACCTGACTCCTTCAGTCATTATGCATTCTTATTATGCTAGGACATCACAAAATGGTTTAAAGCTTTCCGAACTATATCATTAGGCTAATGTGTAGAAAAATACAAGAGTAATTTCTATATTTCTTACCTTCAAGGGACCAGCAGATACATTTGCCTCAGCATCAATGAAGGTCTGCAGAATAGCTCTGTCTGAGAAAGCTCTGCCCAAGTCTTCTGCAAGTTGATAACTCTGGTGCAAATAGTTAAAGCAAAATCTCATCAACAACAACAATCAGAATGACAGGTGTGGAACAGGAAAGCACCCACTTTATTACCAGAAAAGCATCCCTACCAGAATAAATGCTCGCTCTTTGCTTTCTCCCTTTGATTGATAAAGCGACACTTCTGCAGCAAAACGGTTCAGAAGATCTCGTTCCCTCAAGCAGTGAGTGTTCATCTGACGCACACAACTGGTTAGGCATATGACATGTTGAGAAAGGTTAATATGCTTACAAACTTAGACAATATATATTACCTGGAATTGGCTGTTCCTGAGGGTAGTGCTTGTAAGATTAGATTGAATTACAGGGACGGGTCCATTCATGTGTTCTAATCCCAAACCTTTGAAAGGTTTGTTTTTCTTCTTTGCAGCTCCATATTCTGAAAGGAGTGCCTTGCTCACCTGAAACAAAAATCCACTGCTTCAAACCGAAATCTTAAAGAAGTATGTGCTAGTAAACTTAATTCCATTTAAATTGTAACACATCAGTTTTTGGATGTTCTAAAATGATTAACAAAAGAATCAAGTAGTAACATAAGACAAGCTCAAAACCATTGTTTAACTCAAAGCCTTGGATTACACTAGCATCACCACATAGATCTTAAGTCCTAGCGTGCCTTGCTCACCTGAAACAAAAATCCACTGCTTCAAACCGAAATCTTAAAGAAGTATGTGCTAGTAAACTTAATTCCATTTAAATTGTAACACATCAGTTTTTTGGATGTTCTCGATTTCAATCCAATAGTTCTTTTTTTCAGAAAAACTTCATCATTGAATAACTTTCACCCAAATACACTGTACCTGCTGCATGAGAACATTGTTGTCCCCCTCGAAAGTTGACTGGACATCAAATTCACCTTTCAGATGACCAACTCGATTTTCAGTCTTCAAGCCTTGTCCTCCACAAGCTTCACGGCATTCCTG